TGTTGCTGCTGCTGCTGCTGTTGTTGTTGTTGTTGTTGTTGCTGTTGTGCACGATGCTGCTGCAGCAACAATTGCTGCTGATCCTCAACACTCAAACTGCTGTTGTTGTTGTTGTGGCTATTTATATGATTGTTGTTGTTGTTGTTGCTGCTGCTGCTGTTGCTGCAGCTATTATGGTTGATGTAGGCGGAAGCGCTGTTTGTTGTTGTTGTCGTTATTGTTGCATTTGTTGTTGTCGGTGGGTGGTTGTCGAGCTTGGACGCAGCTGCTGCCGCCGTCGCTGCTGCTGCCATATTGAGCTGCTGCTGCAGTTGCAGCTGCTGCTGCTCGTCATCCTGCTCCATGGGAGCATCTTGTAGTATAAATTCGATTTGTTGCGATAATGCGCTATCATTGATGGCAATCAGTCCGTCCATATCTTTGGCCGCGACGTTGACGGCGGCAGCGCAGCCGCTGCTAATATTATTATTACTGCTGCTGTTGTTGTTGCTATTGCTGCCGGCAAAGAGTGAAGGCAGCGCAGTTGCGTTGCTGCTGACTGCATTTGTTGCGCTGCTGCTGCTGCTGCTGCTGGCCATGGCAACACCAACGCCACCACCACCACCACCAACAACAACAACACTGAAAGCTCAACTGCTCCTGCTGTTGTTGTTTTTGTTGCTGCTGCTGCTATTTTCCTGCTGCCTTCCTTTCGTATTCTCTTCCTTTTCGCAAGTTTTGCTCTCACTTGCTCTCTGACTCGCTCCTTTTTGTGTGCGTTTAGCGTTGCTTGCCTTTTGCTAGAGTTTTTCTTCTTTTTTTTTATTTTTTGTTTTAGTTATTGCACGTTACTTCGTTTTGTTGTTCTATTTCTACGGCTATTCTCTATTGCCTATCGGCTTTGTTGTTGGTTTTGTGTTTGCTTTTATTATTGTTATTGTTATTGTTATTATTTATCCCGTGTGTGTGTGTGCTTTTTGTGTTTTTGTTTTGCATACGATTTGTTCGTTCTTTTTATGCTGCTCTCTTTTGTTGCACTCTTCTCTCGCTTTAGTTTGAAGCAATTGTTTCGCTTTGCTTTGCTTTGCTTCGCTTTTTGTGAACGTCGCCGCGTCGTTCGGTCATGCGTTGCTTTTTGCTGCTTTCCACGCGTTGGCGGCGTTGGCGGCTGCTGCTGCGACGCTGTGTGGCGCTTCTTCGACTGCTGCTGCGGCGGCTGCGGCTGCTAAGGCGCATTCGTTGGCTTTACACATTTTATTCATTTATATTTGTATATCTCGATATTTGTATAATTTTTATTATTATTTTTAGTTCTTGTTTCTTTTAGTTGCATTCAAAAAAAAACAACAAAAAAAAGAAAAGAGAACAACACATTGCATACGTTCCAACAACACCAGCAACAACTATAAGTAAAAGAATAAGAGGAAGATGTGAGGTGGGGACACTTTAGAGGCGTTGATTGTTATTGTTATTATTATTGATTTCCTTTTTGAATTGCCATTCATCAAATGCTCGTGCAGCTGTTTCGCCGTCTCTTCTAACTCGTGCAATTATTCCAAACATTCACATCTAAATATATATACACATACATGTGTATATATTTGTGTGAATTCGTATATATATCCATGCACATGTATATATATATATTTATATTCACTTTTTGTATTTGTATTTAATTAGTAAATGCGTTTTACAAAATACTTTAGGTCCCTTCCTGCCTGTTTGCTTGCCTCGCTCGCACTCACACTCTCACTCTCGCCTTTTGCTCACAAACACACACATACGCACACAGGCACACACGCTGGCTGACTGGCACACTCACACGCACGGACGCACGCACGCACACAAACGCAAATACGCGCGCGTGAACAAAAACAACAAAAATTAATTTTAGCTTTTCCACAAGTTTTTCACATTTGCTCCATTTTCATTGATTCCATGATTATTCTTCTTCTATCTTGCACACACCACACTCATTTTGACCTTTTTCCTGTCGCCTTTGCACGCTTTTCGCTGCTACAATTGCTGCTGCTTCCTCTTCTTTTGCCTTATTCTTTAGCTTTGCTTTCAGTTTTTGTGGCCTATTCCTTGTTCCCGTGTCGTTTTTCACACACCATAAAAACGTCAAACTTGAAAATTTTTTGGTTATTTTTGGGTATGGAAATTTTATATATATGTATATACAAATGTATATGTATAATTATATATCTATATATATTTGTATATTTATATTTTTGTATTTTTTGCTTTTATTGGCTCTGCGTGATTTTGCTTTTGCGACGCGACGCGACAGCAAAAGATTAGCGGCTGCGCTGCTCTGCTGCCTCTGCTTCTGCTGCTGGTGCTGCTACTGCTGTCAATTTGCTTTGCTCCCCCGCGAGCATTTTTTTTTTTTTTTACCGCTGCTGCTGCTACTCATACAAAGAGAGCCGTTTTGGACCTTACGTTTTTTGTTGCTGTTCTTAATTTTTCGACCACACGCTTTCACACTCAGATTCGTGTGCTCGGCACACAGGGTTGCATACACGCACAGGCGGCAAACAACACTGACAGTGTTGCCAAACGGAAGACGGCTGCCGGCCGGTGTTGCGCAGCGCGCAATTTGCGCACAATTTTAAGCAGCCAACGAATTCACAGCACAGCAATTAAAATTCGATTTCAATTTCTTGTTTTAATTAAATACAACATTTTATTTGTCTCGCACAAGCGAAATAATTACTCAACAGCAAATGAAATTGCGTTGGCTATTGTTCGCTTTGAGTGCCAGTTGTTTTTCGTTGCTGCTTTGTGCCTCTTCTTTTTGGGCTTACGATTCGCCTTCGTTCACACACTCATACATACACTCATACAAAGCGTACACCCAATTATAAAGGACAGGGCGCTTGGAGCTAAACTTTTGGCTGCGGCATAATAAGCGTCGCAAGGGAGTGAGAGAGAAAGAGGAGTGAGTGAGCAATATAATGCGCATCAGAGTGACGAGCTGAGCAATGCAGAACGACAGGGTGAGAGAGAGAAAGAAAGAGAAAGAAGGAAAGACAAGTCAAGAGTGGAGCGCAGAGCCGTTTTATTTCGACAGTTTTTGAATTACGGCGCTGCTGCTGCTGCTGCTGCTGCTGCCGCTTGTTATTTTAGCTTAACACCCCAACAACAACAACAACAACTATAACATCACCTTCGTTCGACCGAGAGTCAATTTTCATGGTAGTTGTCGTCAGGGGGTGGTGGTTGGCGTTTTGGGTTGGTGGTGTGATGTTCCTATTGTTGTTGTTGGTGCTGCGCCCGTTAGCTAGGAGCAGGGGCATTGGGGGTTGAATTTGGTGCCAGCAGGCGTCGCTAAATTCCATGCACACATACTCTCTCACGCAAGGGACCAAATTAACACAATATGAAAACAAAAGAGAAACCAAAATTGCGGTGCTCTGTGTTTACATATATATGTATGTAAGTAAGGCCAATAACTATAATGGTAACCTCTCTATGCCACCCAACCACCCACTCTCTCTCTCACACACACATACACCCAGTCGTGTTATGTTTATATTTTTTCGTCTAGCTTTTGCGCGTTTATTTTGGCTCTATGCAGCAGATTTTCGCTGCGTTTTTAACTGCTTCGCACTCACACGCACACGCTTTTACACACACACACACTCACACACCCGCACGCTCACTTACACCCGCACGCGCGACTGACAAAACATTATTCTGCATTTGTTTTCGTTTTGTTGGTTTTCCGATTTGTGGTTATTTATACGCTTTCGCATAAGCATTAGCACTTACACTTGTCATCACATTTTTATCACTTATTCTAATTCGTTTTGGTTTTATTTAATTGAGTTTTGCAACAATTTACTGCATTAGTTTAATGCCTTACGCAGTTTGGCTTTACGTTGCGCATTCATGCGTTCGCGTTACTCATTTTAGTACTAGAAGTGAGCATATTGCGTTGCACGCGCGAATGCTTGCTTACGTTACTCACTTGACGACATTTCGTTAAGTGAGCATTAAACGAACTTAACGAAGCTTCGTTAACGTTAATTTGCAAATTGATTTTTGAATTATTGATATTGTTAGAAAAATGAATTTAATTTAGTTCGGCTTATATTCCTCTAATCCCAACATGGTTTTTTACAAGGATTTAGTTTTAATGCGATGGAAACTAGATATATTTAAGTTAGAAAAATTCTAACCTAACTTTTTGAATATATATTTAAATTATGAAACGTTATTAGAATTTAAATTATAAGAAAACAAGTTGATTTTCGCCAGTTATATAGTTTATTTCATATACTTTTGTATAAACACACATATATGTATACATATATATATTTTGCTTTAGTTTTATAAAAAAATCTTGCAATTTTTGCCTAAAACTATACAAAAAACTTAACATTTAATATTTGCCAGCAAAACGCTTTGAAATTGTTCAGTTTTATCAGTATTTTGTTATGTTATGATTTATTATGAAAGACTCAAAAGCAATATTTATTTGTTTTCTCGTATTATAAGAGCGTTATAAATTGTTGTTGTTGCTGATTTTTGCTTGGCAGTTGCAAGTTGCGCTTAATTTCATAAGAATCCAAAAATATATATGTATATATATTATATATATCTCTAGATATATCTATATATATGTATATATAGTTTTTTTTTAGAATTTTTTGGGGCCGTAACTTTTGTTTTCGTTTTTATATTTTACATGCTATACATTAAATTTAATTTAAAAGTAATAAAAAAAAAATGTTTTAATTTTAAGCAAAAAAGAAAGAAATAAAAAACTGTTTAAAAAATGTTTATGCATAAATATTTAAACAGTTTTTGTTGTTTTTTTGTTTTTTCTTAGAATTTGAGTTGTGATCATTGATTAAGAGTTTCTTTCTTTTGCGTCTTCTTCTTCCTCTTCTTCTTCTCGAGTGGGTGGAAATGATTTTTGCATGGATTGTCTTTTTCTTGCTTCTGTTTTCTTCAGCTAATTGTCTTGATTTTTGCTAAATAATAGTAATTATGAATATAATCATCCAGAGGTTATCTCTCTATCTCGCTCGCTCTCCTGCTCGTTTACTTGTTGCGATCGTTTTTCGCCGGCTCCACCTGCTTGGCGAACTCGCCCATCACCTCTTTATATATAACCGGATCCAGATTGCGACCCAGCATATATATTAGCCACCAATCGCCAATGTCCAAGCGGCGCGAAAGCGTGCGGCAGGTCTCCATGGGAATCATGCGATTGCGTGCATTCAATAGACGCGGCCGGAACTTGGGCATGAAGATGATGCAGGCACTGTAAATATATGGAGAAAATAGTTTCAATTACATTTATTTTAAAGAGAATATTACTCAAATTTAAATTGCGGCCAAAAGGCTCTTTAAACATTTAACAGACAGTTTTACTCGCTGTTAACTAGCTCAGCAACAGCACTGTAATAAACAGCGCTCTGTCTGTTAGCTGCAAGCAGGCGCTCAACAGTGCCATGTTAAGCAAAACTCAACGAAACTGCGCTGTCAGACGGGGAACCTGTACGTTAAGCGTGTTAACAGTGCAGCAGAAAGAGTTTACAGCTTAGCTAAAGAGTTAACAGTGCTGGTGTAAATAGCGACATTAATCAAATTAATATTTATATAGCGCAACAATTTAGTTATTTGCCTGAGAGCAAGTAGAATTTATGAAGTTAGCGGAAATTAGAATGATTAGCGAAATGTGATGGAATAGAATAGAATTTAAATTTAAATTAACTGTAACCAACATAAATTTTAACAGCAACTAGAGCAGAAATCTAGTTTAGAAGCGCTTAGCTGGCTGTCTAACAGTAGATGTAATTATACATAAATATGTTATGTCTAGCGGTTACTCTACGTAACATGAACTCTATACATGTTAAGCTAAAGCCTTTAAATTATGAATTGTGTACATCGATCATTACTAATCTTACTAAAATGAACATTAAAATGAAGACTAGCTAAATATGCTATATGTTAAACAGTAAATGGGTAAACTAACATGAGCCTTAACAGCAACTGAAATTAATTGTCAAACTAACATAAACCTTAACAGCAGTTGGAACTATGTACAACAGTTCATTTAGCTAACATAGACTAGAGCAACAGTCTTAGTTATATACGTATAACAATTTATATATGTATGTACCGGAATATCATCAGTCCAACGAGCAGTACGAGTAGTATCCAATACCAGAACCAGATGAACACATAGGTCTTCTCATTGACAATATTCAGCGGCAATATGCATAGGGAATCGTGCGTTTGCAGCGATCCACCGGCACCGTATTTATGGAAAATGCATTTGGTGACGCGCGGAAAGACATAGACCATGGGATCCATACGCTGTTCCTGCGGCACATCCGATAAGCCCATTATATTCGTGCCATACGATATGAACTCGCCGTCAAAGAAACGATTCATCAAATACATCTGAACCACAATATTGATGAAGCAGAGCACCTCGCAGGCCCAATAGCGTATGGCATACAGTTTATGACGCTGCAATCGATACAATGGATATCCAATAATATTATATGCATAATGTTTGAGCTCCGAATTGGATTCGGGCATTCGTGCTCACCTTCACATGCTTGATGAGATAGTCGAGCAGTGCATCGCGCTTGGCCTCCTTCTCCTCGTTCGTGCAGATCGTGATGTTCAGACCCATGACAATCATGCGCATCAGACCGCCCTCGAATTTGTTCCACAAAAACTTTGGAGTATAGCAGGCCATGGCCTATAGAATGGAGAGAGACAAAGATATATATTTATATGACTATACAAATTTCAATATGAAAGGAGTACTATAAATTATCATCAAAAAGAAATTCATATACAGCTAACCCCATCAAATTAGTGATAAGCTCAATGAGCACTATTTGAAATATATATTAAAATATTCATTGATGTATAAATATTTTCTATGAGGGTTTTTTTTGTTATAAAGTTCATAAGTTTTCTATAACATTTTTTTTTTTTTTACTCTAAGTAATACTTCTTCCTGATAAGCTCAATGAGCACTATTTGAAATATACATTAAAATATTCATAGATATATAAATATTTTCTATGAGGGTTTTTTGTTATAATGCTCATAAGTTTTCTATACAATTTTTTGTATAAACTCTAAATAATACTTCTTCCTGATAAGCTCAATGAACACTATTTGAGATATATATTAAAATATTCATAGATATATAAATATTTTCTATGAGTGTTTTTTGCTATAAACTTCATAAGTTTTCTATAACATTTTTTTATAAGCTCCAAGTAATACTTCTTCGAAAAATGCTAGAGTATATAAAGTTAAGAGTTTTTAATGCGAGAATGGGGAGGATCAAAATTTCATTTGAATTTAGCTGAGACTGTTCAAAGGCTGTATTTGCCTTGCAGAGCTTTAAGCTGCACTCAAAAGCTTTTTGCTCTTGTCATTGTAAGCAGCTTTTACTGGTTCTAAGTCCCTCAATGCCTCTGTATTTAGCAGCAGTGTTATGGTTTTACACTATGTTAGTTAACATTAGTTAACATTAATTTGCAGCAAAGCGCTTTAAGCTCAATTCAAAAGCTTTTCCTCTGTTCATCGTAGGCAGCTCTTACTAATTGTAAGCCTCTCAATATATTCGTCTTTAGCATCAGTGTTTTACTTATAGATTCCATATAAAGCTTTCAGCGTGATCCCAAAACTTTTGAGTCTTTGCACTCTTTATATAGAATAGACATATAATAAGTTCAATATAATAACTTCAGCAGTCTGTAAAAGTCTACATAAGCTAATACCAATTTCCGTTAAATAGCTGTAAGTTCAATTCAAAATTCCTTGCAGCGTCCATTATAGGCAGTCTTTACTGTACTCTTCAGCTTTGCCAGATTGTTAATCAACTACACGCAAACATTGGCCAAGAGCTCTTACTTGTGGAGAGTTTCAACAGTTGCTGTTTGACTTTCAACAGAAGTTAGATGTGTTCTTTCATAGTTGTTGCTGTTGTTGTTGTTGTACTGCCAGTTGTTGTTGTTGTTGTTGGTATTTAGCAAGTCATTAATCCATTGGAATTTAGTATTCTGGCATTTCGCAAGTGTTTGCTGCTGCTGCTGTCTTTGGTGTTTAGCAACTGTTGTTGTTGTTGTTGTTGTTGTTGTTGCTGATTGTGTGTTGCGTGTTGCGCAACAGACGCGCAATCATGCTTGATTGCGCGTGCTTGGCAATACAATGAACTGTGCGTGCTCCCCCTCCCCCCTCTCCCCCCACCAATCAATGGTTAGGCATTAGCTGATACTTCTCTCTCTCTCTCGCTCTCTCTCTCTCTCTCTCCCTCTCTCTCTCTCTCTTTCTACGTTTCACAAACGCATGCACGCCTCCACAGCCTCCCCCTCGCCCCTCCATAGATCGAAAGCCAACGCACGCATTCAATTAGGCTTCATTGAAGTACAGCTTGTTGTGCGTGTCTTATGAATGTGTGTGTATATATACATATATATGTATATACGTATGTGTATGCTTTGGCATCTGCGTAGCAATTGAGACCACGAGCACAGAGAGAAGGAAATCGTCAAAACGTCAAACAAAAACGTGAGAGAGATATCTCTACTTTCAAATACCCTATTACAAATGCAGACCAAAGCGAGGGGGGTTCCAGCTTGAGGGCGGGGTTGGTTGGGGCATACTAATTAGAGTGGCAGAGCTCTTTTGTATAGCTGTTGCTGTGCTTACCTGGAAGAAGAGCACAAAGCACACCCATTGATAGTAGGTATAGTATTTCCGGGCATCCTTGTCATTGAAGTCGTTGGCAACGCCAGGATGTGCCACCTCACGGCCGACCTTGAGAGGGAAGATATGGAAAGAATTAGATATGCTATATACTCTACGAGGGAGCTTTCTGCAATATAACAGTAAAAGTGGCAGTATAACAGTTTTCAATGAATATTGGAATCAGCCAAACCGTTGATCGACATATAGTTTAAAGCCAAAAGATGTATTATAACGGTAGTATAACAGTTGCATTTGTGACAGCCAACGATTAATGTGTTATACAGTTTAAATACAACTGTTTAACTATAATAAAATATTTTTAAATATTTTAATTGTTTATAGCAGTATAACAGTTTTCATATCATAAAACAGTTGTGCAAAGCATATGGATTTTCAATGGGATGTGATTAATTCGAACATATATAAATTCTTAAGCTCGCTTTCTACAGCTGCACAACTGTTATACTGTTCTGTTATAATCAAAGCTTGCTGGCTTATGATGCACAATTCATGGAGCACTTATTGTTAATATAATTTACTGCTATAATAAAGGTTGATTATTATGATTAATAACTGTCATAATGCTTACTGTTATACTACATTGTTGTGATATAGTAGTAGACAAAAATTGTATACAATTTTCGTATCCTTTGTTATAAAATTCACTTAAAGCAAGTTACAGTTTGTGTAGTATTTAATAAGCCGTATAACAGTTAAAATTTTAAACAGAGTCTATTATATGTTGTTGATATATGAAATAAATTCAGTTTAAACGTTTTATGCTAAAAGAAACTGTTCTGATAACTGGTATAACAGTATATAACAGTTGAGTGTTAGACGTGGAAAGCTAATAGGCGCTTCTTTTTTAGATTTTCTGTAGATATTGAGTCTCTATTGAACCCCCAAGCTCTCTGACTCTCTAATGATTTCCTTTCTGGCTCAATATCCAAATTCTTTCTTTCTTCCATTCCATTGACAAACTGCCTGAGAATTTTGATGTGCTCTGCCTTAAGCGCAAGGACATGTTCTTCGTCTGCGTTGAAGGTTCCACGAAATCACAAAACATTGCCCCTGTTGAAATATGAGATATGTGCATCAGCGAAAGGCTGCCCGCGGGATATTCAATTTTCGTGTCGTTGTTAATCGGTTTTTTGTTCATTGTTTTGTATTTTGGTTTCATTTTCTTCTTCTGTTTTTGGATCACACGAAGCAGAATTTGGAGCTACAACGCCCCGTTTATAATTGCTTTATAGCCGGAGCGTATAAATATGCACATATTTATGCGAGGCATCCATAAACGGGCCTACAGCGTGTATTACACATCATACAAATGAGACAACGTTGAACGTGATCGGCCTACATAAGGATGTGTGGAAGAGGACGAAGAAAAAGGCGAAGAAGAAGCAGTTGAAAATAATGAAACCAAGCAAGGCAAGACAAGACTCCAGTGAAGCAGA